TAGATTTAATTTGCAAAAATTTATTTGAATCAAGTATGGTATATAGAAATAGGTTCTTCAGCATTATTTACATCCATTAACCAATTTACTTGATCAAGGGGCAAGTTGACCTTCTTTGCAATACAAGCTTCCCAACAACTTTTTAAATTTAATTTTATTGACTGTATATTGTTTTTGTTAAAATTCATTAAATCTGGACCTATATCCATATAATCGGGATCACTTTCTCCATCATGAAAAACAATTTGCTTTTTTCTAAATGCCACCAAACTCCTCTACCACACAGCATAAAATCACTTATTCTCTCAAGATGGAATTGTAATTCTTTTTCATAAATAGAAAACTTTGTAGGTTCTGATGGATCTTAATAATTAAATGAATTATTGTTGTTACTTTGTTACACAGAGTCGCTCTTACACACAAACACACACATATATATTAAGTTGTATTTTCTTTGTTTTTATAAATTTATATATATATATATATATATAAATTTTATATATATATATATATATATATATATGTATTTAAACTAATTTGCTTGATTTTGCTGAACATCTTATTCAGTATGCAGTGAACTTGGGGAAATAATGCGTGCAACTTCTGGTAAATGTGTTGTGATTGAATGATAGTATATACCATACAGTTTGTTCTTGGTAATTTTATTAGGATTACTTCCGAATACTAAGCGGCAAAGAAGGATATGTTGAAATGCTAAGTTATATAATCGAAGGATTGCCTTTGGTGACCTGTTTTGTGATGGTAAATATGCAGATTTGACTAATTCCATGATATTCTGCAAAAATAGTTTTACATTTGGTCTACAGATCTCTTTTAAGGAATTGTATACAACAATTGTAGATAACCTATAATCAGCCCCTCGTACATTGTCCTTTTCACCAAAACACAGTTTAAGGCAATCGTTGAATACTTTTTTTTCTGAAAAGTTCAGTATTTCAGGCAGAACCCAGTAAGCACAAGACGCATTTTCGACACTTATAGACGTCTAAAACTAGTCTAGGTAAAGACGCTTTTTTATAGACGTTTTGAAGACATCTTTTAGACGTCTTTTATAAATGCGTTTTTAAAATGACGTTTAAAATGCGTCTTTTTAAAGTTTAAAAGACGCATAATAAATAGTCTAAAGGACACATTAAAAGACGTCTAGATAATAAGGCTAAAAGACGTCTTTTCTGAGACCTGTTTATAAATATGTCATTATGACTTCTTTTTGACGGCTTTGTCATTACGCGTTAAGTAGATGTCGTTTATTCAAAGTAAAAACATAGTTTTTATTATTTTCAATAATTTGTTCAAGTTTTAAGTGTAAATTACTTTAAATTAAATTACTTTTTTACACAATTGCTAAAACTGTTGTCACAGGAATCACTAAAACAATTGCTATAATATTAATATATCTTTTTTTTATTAATAATTATTTTGCTTTTTTAATAGATAATTGACTGATCATGATAATAAGTGAAAATGGCAAGAATAATAAATAAGTTAAATATCAGTATTTTTAGTTTTTATACACCCACAAGCCATATAATAAATCAAGTATGCGGTCAAAAATTAGCTAGTAATATGTATGATTAATATTATCATAATTAAAGGTAAGTTGTAAATGTTTTAAATACTGTTTTGATATATATTTGCTATTGTTATTTATTGTTTCCATCATTGATGCATCAACCGTTAATGGTGATTACAGCAATATTACTTTGATTGCTGGTTCCTATGTATATCTTGTATATACGAAATTATAACAATATATATCGTTATGATTATAATGAATATATACCACATACTACGCGAAAATGTTACGTCATGTACTTAAATTCATCTTGAAAAATACGTCTAAAACGCGTTTTTATAAAGACGTCTTCATTTAGACGTCTTTTAGCCTTATGATCTAGACGTCTACAAGTGCGCCTTTTAGACCTCCTTAAAGACATCTTTAAAACGTCTTTTAAACGTCTTTGTGCTTACTGGGAACATCCCAAATATTTTTTATATGACCTTTAAAGTCGTGGAGTGGCTCTATAGGACTGACCTCATAGTTGTGTAGATTTGACAAAACAAGTGTGTTTAACTCATTGCCAAAGCAAAGAGCTGGAGTTCGTGAAACACCAGAAAGATTTTGCTTCAGAAGTTGTTCAGATTGTTTTTTTGTTCTTTTCACTCCAATATTTTTATTTAATTCTCGAATGGATATTTCCAATTCAAGTTTGGAAATGCTAAGGTTTTGAAATGGAGATATTGCTTTTGCTGTTCTGCCTGCAGGACCAATAACAACCTAAAATTTACAGTTAGTGATATATAAAAATATTGAAATATTTTGAAATGAAAAGCGCATTTTAACCAAATAAAGCATATATTGTTTAACTCAAAATAATAGTGTAATGTAATTTCAAATGTATAAATAGTTTAAAGTGATGAAGTGATTTTTTTTTATTTATTATTTATTTCATATATGTAAGTAATGGAAGTAATATGTAAGTAGGACCTAATCTTATTGGGGGCGGTTTCAAGTGTGTGTGTGGGGAGGTCATACTTCCCCACACACACATACCCTTGAAATTGGGAAAAACCTCCATTTAAGAATTTCATATTTAATTTGCTGTCAATTTTTCAGGAATATAGTTGATATTTTACGCATTCCACTGGGTAGATTTTAAGTTTTGAGGACATTTTTTTAAAATTTTTTAATTTTTAGAAGGTAATCAGAACTTTTTAAGAATTCATCCCCCCCCCCCCTTCTCCTTTTCCTCTTTTTATTTCTAAAATTGCCCTTGAATCTGATACCGTTTGACCAGTATAGGCCCCTAAATTGAAAGTTCCATAAATCATAAATTATACATAGGGGACTCATAAGCATATTTTCGTGACTGAGGTCATGATTGTGGTTTTTTGTCTCGTGAGATCAGATATGTTTAAAATGTAATTATTTTGCCTAAATTTTATAGTAAGAGAAAAATTAACTTATTTTTATATCGAAATGTGTATAATACACAAAACTGGGTGCGTGAGAACCTTAATTAAAAGTGATGTTACATTACTTTTCTCCTTCTATCTTCTAATGATATGATGTCATGTGAATAAACAATTGGTAAATCTGTAAATTGATTAACATTACACCCACATAAGCATGGATAATAACCACCATGAAGATTTCCAGCTTCAAATTGGATTTTTGGATGATCACCTAAATAAAAAAAACTTTTTTCAACATTTCATGTCTAAATTTACATTAAAGTACAACTGATAACAGGGTTGAATTTTAAGTACTGTTTTTCATATTTATCTCTACCCGAATTCTTTTCCCTGGAAAAGTTAAATTAAGTAAATTATCTCTGAAAAAATCATAATTCTTCATTTTTGTGGATATACATAAAAAGTGCAGTAAAATTAAAATCTTAATTTTAAAAAAACTGCCAAGTTCCAATTTCATTCAAGATTCTACATTTTGAATAAAATTCCCCCATTCTCTCTCCTCGCCATTTTGCTTTCCGTCATGTAAAAAAGTGACTACATTTTAGAATTAATACCGTGAAAAAATCTTAAGACGTCATGAATTTCTTGTCCGTTAATTTTTATGGGAATATGCAAATCTTTAATATCTTCTAATCTAGATTCTACATAAGACAGTTTCCCTGCAATTGTGTCATTTATGCATCCAAATATGTACAAATGAGGAGTTTCTACCAACTCTTGGACATTGTAATGGTTACCAGTTTTGTCAAACATTTCTTTATCATTATAGTAGAGTTCATCATCATAAATTGGTTTGACAGTGAGTAATAAGTGACCCGAGTTTAAAATTGAAGCATGATCTGACCAAATTATCAAATTTCTGCTATATATTCCTGTCGGATTTTCTCGAATAATTTTTTGCGATATATGATTTTCAAAAATCTTTTTGCGTAATTCATGCAATGAAATTTTTCTACCTGAAATAGAAGATTTGGAAATTTCTATTTTTCCATGTTTATCTGTAGAAATTGATGAATATATTTTAGGTTCAATCAATGTTCCTAATATGTATTTTCCAGAAGTGATATTTTGATTTAAATCTTCTTTAATCTTTTTAAATGAACGTGGGATACATAAAAAAAAGTATTTCTTAATAAAAATCAATATTTGTAAAATCAAAATTATGTATTTATTCGTCATTATCAAGATAAGGTTTTACATTATAAACGTAAATGATATGACCAAAGCAAATAGAAGACGGCTGTCATATTATCTTACCTTATTAATGTCGTTTATATTTTACAATCAATATTGAATAAATTATCAAGCAAATAAAACATAAAATTCGAATAATGGTACGTTGTTATTTATAAAGTTTAACGATTTTATTATTGTATGCAGAGCCTAGATGAAATGTTGCATGAGGGAGGACTGGTTAGTTATTAAAAACAATAACTAAGATAACTAATAACCAACTCTAGTATTGCCGTCAATGAAAATCCTCAACTGGACTTAGTTATTAAAAATACAAGTGTACTGAGTTATATCCTAACTACTTAGTGTTGTGTTGATCAATCAAAACTTTACTTCTAACTCTTAAACAATGAACTTGTGAAAAACTTTCTTTGGTTCTATTTTCCTTAATATAGATAATGAAAATGTATAAAAAATATTCTTTTATAAAGATTTATCAAAGCTCCTGATTGTTTTTATTTGAGAGCTAAAAGTTTCAAAAAGTTTGAAAAATTCATTATATTCTAAAGCACAAAAAATATAAAGACTTTTATTTATCTTTTAATTTGTTTATTTATAATTTATGTCCAAATTAATTCTATGACCCGGGCTAGAAGAAGACAAAATTAATTATATCACTAAGCCCCGAGCTAATGCTCAATTTTAGCACATAAAATAGCACACAAAATATTTTTCAAACCTAAATTTACTTATTATGTTTACCTGATATTTATTTTACAAGTATACCTGATAGTTTATTGAGTTTTCTTCTTACTCTAGTTTTATTAAGTTTAGTACTACTAAAGGTGGTTATATCAACATTATTTTGTTCCAGGAACTCACGGACAACCATATTACCGTTTAATCCATCAATTTTGTATTTCTTTGCAAGAGCCGAGAGATTAATCTAAAATAGTTAATGCTTTTAATTTCATATATACTTAGTTTTATTTTTTATATAGAATGCAGATTTTTAGTAATCTCTTTATTTCATTATTTTTATTTACATTTTTTTATTTTAAATTAAAAAAAAAAATTTATTTGTTATACTTCTGAGCCTTTTTTCATTTTCTGTACTTCATTTAACATTTCAACTTTATTGAAATCAATGTTGTTAGGGTTCGGTGAATGTCTTTTTCTCTTTTGACCAATAGCATTGCCTAAATTGTGAACTCAATTGAAATCAGACAAATAATATTGGGATAATTTTCAAATATAGTAAAAATAAAATAACGTAAAGAGAAAATGTTACTTAAATCACACCAATAATAATCACACAATGATTAAAAATAACAAAACAAATAAAATAAAATTTTATATCATAAATATATCATTGCATCGATATATCCAATTTATATTGCATCAAACTTACTCGTAAAGCATGTCGTTCGTTTAACAGCATCTTTTTTAGATTAAAAGTGAAGGCTTGAGCGAATCTTTAAATAAGCTGATTTTGATTGACGAACACCAAACAATGTATTGGTATCTTTGCTATATTTTTCCCAATGATTTTCAATTGTCGCCTTTAACTTCCTGTGGGATTTTCGAAGTTTTTTTTTTTATCTGCAGAAGATAACTTTTCTACTAAATTGGTTGAGGGTAATTTTGACAAAACCTTTAAAAACGGCGTATCATATAAAGAATTCCAAGATGTGTTGATGTTTTCCAAAACCGATTTACATGTTTCTTTCATGTATGGAAGTGAGTTTTTAGTAAAAGGAATATCAACTTCTGAAAAAGACAGAGGAGCAACGTTTGAATTCTTGAAAGATAAAATATTATTTCGCGCTTGAGAGTCGGTTGTAAAAATGTTGGCTATATTGCTAAGTGGTGAGTTTGACTTTTTTGGCCGATGAATCACAGAACTTGGAAAAACGTTTTCTGGATTTTTATCTTTTTTACATAGGCTGCAACCATTAAGCGTGTGTTCTTTTTGTATGAAAGGATCCAATTTTTGCCATTCATATTGGGAATAGCGTTTTATAAATTTAGTTCTTTCGTCACCACCCCATACATGCTTTTTTAGAAATGTTGTCAAATCATGCGATTTTTTATGGAAATATTTTTCGTTAATTATGATGTGCTGGAATTGACTAATAAAATGCTCATATTTTTTGTGTTTCCGAGTATAATGGATTTCTTCTAAACCATTTAGAATTTTAGCTCTCATATAAAAGCACTCAAAAACTTTCGACATCTTGATAAGAAATGTATCTATTGCCCTAATTTTGGTTTAACTTTTATTATTAAGCAAATAGTAACTAAAAAAATTGTTTACTAATTTATTACTCTATCGATAATCGTAAAAAAAAATTAAGTGATCCGCATTATGTAAATTGACTATACTAATCAGTGCTATATATTAATGGCTATATGAATAACCTTTATACTAGGGGCACCAATAGGATTTTTTGATGTTTCAGATAGGACACTTTCACGCATTGTGCAAACTCCAAACTTAAGAATGTTTATACCTATGTCGAATGAGGAGGCCTTGCAAAAAATCGGGATGGAGGAGGCCTGGGAACAAAAAAGCCCCTAAACGTTTGGCCCCCCTGCCCAAATGTGAGGGCACTATTGTAGTAAAATCTTCAACTTTATAAACTTTACTATTATAAACTTAATTTAAGTTTATCAACAAGTTTTAAGTTTTGTAGAAAAATATTGTAAATTACAGAAGTTATGATCAAGCAAATTTCCCCCCCCCCCCCTTTAAAAAAAAAAAAAAAAAAAAAAAAGAAGGGGTTGTAAATTTTGGATGGTCATAACTTTTGTAATTCACAATATTTTTTTACGAAATTTAAAATCTGTCGATAAATTTAAATTAGTTTAAGATAATAACGTTAAAAATTTTACTCATTAGTGCCCCACATTTGGGTAGGGGTCCAAACGTTTTAGGGCTTTTTTGCTTGCAGACCTCCGCCATCCTGATTTTTTGCAAGGCCTCCTATTTAACATAGGTATAAACATACTTAAGTTAGGAGTTTACACAATGTGTGAAAGTGTCCTATCTTAAACATCAAAAAATTCTATTGGCGCCGCTGCTTAATACAGTAATGTATTGTTTTTACAGGTGGAATAAAGTAAAAGGTCAAAAAAGTGTCACCACACCCAAGTGTCTATTTAAAATCTGGAATTGTTAAGGTGTTCTTGAGACTTCACTAATTCAATTAGTATCTTAATAACTATTTTGGTAAATATTTTTTTTCATATCAAACAGAGATTGCTCTTAAGCAATCTAAAAAAAATTACTTTCTTTGTCAAGTTTAGAATTTAAGCGAGTAAAAAGTAACAAATAAAAAATAGCCAACCAAAATAAATTTTAATGTGAAAAAATATATCGCATAGGCAAAATTTAATTAACAATATTTGCAGATGCGAAAAAATCCAACTTTAACTAAGACAATTTCAAAACAAACAACAATTTAATACAAAAGCAATTGATTGGATGGATCATTATATTAACAAATAAATGAGATAATTTAAATAATAACAATAACTAAGATTTATTATTATAATCTAATAGTATTTTTTCTAATTGAAACTATTACTCTATAAATATACCAAAGCAGCATGCAACATATCTTTACGGCAACATCGGAGTAATGGTCAAATGTTCCAAGGTTGATCTGATGTTGCCCTTTGATGTTGGAGTCTGCTGTGTGGATAGACAATAATGAACTAATTCACCTTTGTAAGTGAAACTCTTATTTATTTTCAAAACCAAGTATTACTTTGTTTTTTAAAACTGATTGCAATTTTTTTTGCAATTTATTTTGGTAAGGATCTATACAAACTTCTACAATTCCCAGTATCTTTAAACTGTTTAGAACTTCTTGCTAATTCAACTAATGATGGTGTACTTGTTGTTGTTGATTTACAACTATCTTTATATTTAAAGCCATGAACTCATTGAATAATGTTTATTTTACTGGGAAAGTTCTTTCAAAATGTTTTATTAAATCTCTTTCTTTTTTCTGTAGAGAATTTTGTTGAATGGGTCAAAAATATGAATACTTTTTTACATACAGTTTTATTGAATTTTATAATTCCTTCAATTTTTCTGGTAATTTAAACCTCTTTTAAATTATTTACTTCTATCTAAATCATTTCTTTTTTTTTCAATACTTCAGTTCTTGTTACGACCAAACCATTTTCTCCAACTTCAAAATATTTTATTTAAATATCATTATTATTATTATTGCTATTATTATTATAATATATATATATATATATATATATATATATATATATATATATATATATATATATATATATATATATAATACAGGACCCTGATATTATAATTAAAAAAGCTGGTGATGATCATTCTAAAAGAGAAACTGACAAGAAGCTTAAGTTAGATAGGTGTTTTTTTACTAATTTATTATTGCTCTGTTTTTTACAAACATTGAGCACTCATTTTGTAGACTAAACTGACATAGTTGACACACACACAGTTGTGTCAACTACTGACATAGTTGACACAACTATGTCAGTGTATTCTCCAAAAAAATGCTCATTGTTCATAATGAACAGAGCAATAATTAATTAGTAAAGAAACACTTATCTAACTTGAGCTTCTCCCCCGTTTCTCTTTCAGAATGATCACCAAGCTTCTTGATGTTCATGCTGAAGGAGAAACGAAGAGTAGAAGCTCAAGTTATTTAAGTGCCTTTTTTTCTAATCTCTCTCTCTCTCTCTCTCTCTCTCTCTCTCTATATATATATATATATATATATATATATATATATATATATATATATATATATATATATATATATATATATATATATATATATATATATATATATTTATGCATATATATACATATATATATATATATATATATATATATATATAATTTATGCATATAAATACAATTATATATATATATTTGTATATATATGCATATATTATATATATATATATACAAATATGTATATATATATATATATATATATGCATATATATACATATTATATATATATTTGTATATATATGCATATATATATATATATATATATATATTATATACAATAATATATAATAAACTATATATACAAATAACTATATATATATATATTTTATGCATATATATACAAATATATTTATATATATATTTATGCATATATATATATATATATATATATATATATATATATATATATATATATATATATATATATATATATATCGTTATATATATATATATATATATATATACTATATATATATATATACTATATATATATATATATTTTATATATATATATACATATATATTTATATATATATTTATGTATATATATATATATATATATATATATATATATATATATATATATATATATATAATAAAATCTCAACATCACGTTTTATTTCACACGGCATACACATTTTTGTTTTTACGGCCATCAAAAAGCCTTAAAATAATAAAATCGTAAAGTATTACCGCATTCCCTACACGTCGTTTAAAGAAATGACAGGTTGTCGGGTTTTCTAGCTGACCATCTAAATAAAATTATGGAACAATAATAGAATACAATATGGATATCTTTTAGGCTTTAGATTACTGGAAAAGTTGTCCCTAATGATTTTACTTTCTACTTTTTTAAATATTCTCTTTTTAGTTTAAAAGCAATTTACGTCAACCCTTATAACGTCGACAATAAAAATTTTTTTTATTTGGGACAACTTTTTCTAGATATTATTCAGTTCAGCCAACAATTTTTGATAAACGGTTTCATTTAAATAAAACATGTAGAGGGTCAGTCGAACTACTATAAAAATTTGGACTGGCCTTAAACCACCTGAGTAGGGCATAGAACAAACAAACTCGTAAAAAAAAAAAAAAGCCGACAATTTAAAACAAATCCGATTGGTTGTTAGTGGGAAACCGAATAAATTTTTATTTATTTGTATTTAATTTATGCAAACAAAGAACTCGAGTTGAAAGTAATTTATTTATAAAGTCAACTGCCTCTGTTTTTTAATTGCTAACGTAATAATTTATTATTTCAAGATGGCCTAATAAGTCCCGAGTATTTCAAAAAATGATACTAAATATCGAAAACGGTTTTTTAAATGGGGCTAAAAGTTATGACTATTTATGCAAAAACAACTTAGGTAGAAAAGTTAACACTACCATAGGTTATCTAAATCTAACGTGACATTATTGTTAAACATACTCATTTAGGTGTGGTATTGAAAATAGTAACTTCATTTTTCATAAAAAAATGGTTTTTCATGGATAATTTTTCAGCTCAACCTTCAGTATTTTAATAAAGCTATTTGTATTCCTTTTTTGTGAAAACCGTTTTGGCTTTAAAAAGACCCGACGTACAGAACTAAAAATAAATAACCACGCACAAGATGTTAACTCGTAACGCTATTATTTTTCAAAGTTATGTTTGTCTCAGTTAATGCGCTAACAAAAAACATTCATGTAAGTATATTGTCTACATTATATTGTTTAAACGTTTATACAAACTGCAGCTGGCAAGCCTCTTGTGACTCTTTTGATGTTAAGATGAAGCTTTTTAGCTGCAACTTGACATCGAAATTTTATTATCTCGACATGCACAAATATTAGTATAATCAGGAATGCAAAATCCTAAAAGAACTCCGGCTTAGTATCTCTATTTTTTCCTGGTCTCTGGTGTCCAAAAGCTCTAAACATGTTGGTTTATGATCTGCTAAATAAAATTTAATGACCCAAAAG